GCAGCGCATGTGGGGTGACTCCTTCTTCAATGCCAAGAAGAAGGTGTGGACCAACGTGATGCAGCCAGAGGGCTGCACCGAGCCGCTGCAGCGTGCCTTCTGCCAGTTCATCATGGGCCCCATCAATCAGCTCATGCGTGCCATCATGAACGATGACAAGGAGAAGTACGAGAAGATGATGGGAACGCTGGGCATTGTGCTGAAGGGCGATGAGAAGTCCCTGACCGGGAAGCCTTTGATGAAGCGAACCATGCAGATCTGGATCAACGCCGCCGACACCCTGCTGGCGATGATTGTGACCAAGTTGCCTTCCCCTCGGGCTGCGCAGAAGTACCGTGTGGAGAACTTGTACGAAGGTCCCATGGACGATGCAGCGGCCAACGGCATCCGCACCTGCGACCCAGCCGGTCCTTTGATGATGTATGTGTCGAAGATGGTGCCCACTTCGGACAAGGGCCGCTTCTACGCCTTCGGCCGCGTGTTCTCTGGCACCATCGCCACTGGACAGAAGGTCCGAATTCAGGGCCCGTACTACAAGCCGGGCAGCAAGGAGGACCTGCACGTGAAGAACATCCAGCGTACCGTTCTGATGATGGGCCGCACCACTGAGCAGATCCAGGATGTGCCCTGCGGAAACACCGTGGCACTGGTTGGCGTTGACCAGTACATCCTGAAGTCTGGCACCATCACCACCCTGGAGGATTCTCACAACATCGCTGACATGAAGTACAGCGTGTCCCCTGTCGTGAAGGTCGCCGTGAAGGCCAAGGATGGAAAGGACCTGCCGAAGTTGGTGGAGGGCTTGAAGAAGCTGTCCAAGTCCGATCCCCTGGTTGTGTGCACGACTGAGGAGAGCGGAGAGCATGTGATCGCAGGCTGCGGCGAGTTGCACGTCGAGATTTGCTTGAAGGACCTGAAGGACGAGTATGCTCAGTGCGACTTCATCGTGTCCGACCCTGTGGTGTCCTACCGAGAGACGGTGAGTGAGACGTCTGGCCAGACGTGCTTGGCCAAGTCGCCGAACAAGCACAACCGAATCTACCTTGTGGCCGAGCCTATGGACGAGGAGCTCAGCAAGGCCATCGAGGATGGTGTTGTTGGCCCTAAGGCCGACCCCAAGGAGCGGGCCAAGATCTTGTGCGAGAAGTTCGAATGGGACAAGCAGGTTGCCCAGACCAAGATCTGGTGCTATGGTCCTGAGACTGATGGTGCCAACCTGGTTGTGGACTCCACCGTGGGCGTGCAGTACCTCATCGAGATCAAGGAGCATGTGAACAGCGCGTTCCAGTGGGCCACCAAGGAGGGACCTCTGTGCGAGGAGAACATGCGCGGCATCCGCTTCAACCTGATGGATGTGACCCTGCACACCGATGCAATCCATCGTGGCGCGGGACAGATCATGCCTCCCACCCGCCGTTGCTGCTTTGCTGCAGAGTTGACAGCCAAGCCTACTTTGCAGGAGCCTGTGTTCTTGGTGGAGATCACCTGCCCACAGGAGGCCATGAGCGGTGTCTACAACTGCATGAACCTTCGCCGTGGCTGTGTCTTCGAAGAGAACCAGAGGGAAGGCACGCCCTTGGTCCAGGTGAAAGCGCACCTGCCAGTGTCCGAGTCCTTCGGTTTTGTTGCTGCCTTGAGGCAGGCCACCAGTGGCCAGGCTTTCCCACAGTGCGTCTTCGACCACTGGGAGAACCTCCAGGGCAACTGCCTGGAGAAAGGTAGCAAGATGGAGGATCTCATCCTGGCCATCCGCAAGCGCAAGAACCTCAAGGTGGAGATGCCGGCCCTCGGCGACTACCTGGACAAGCTTTAAGCCTTCAGGCCGAAGAAACAGCATCTTCGAGAAATGTTGAGCTCGAAATACGAGCACTCGCTCCAGCCAAAGATGTCTGTGTACATGTCAGTCACCTGCAGGGTGCCATTTTGATGTCGCAAAAGAACCAGTTAGGGTCCGGTTTGGTCCGTTGAGCTTGCTAATGCATCACACGGCTGACAGCCAGGTGATTCCATGCAAGTGACGCATGTCCTGCTCTGGCGTCCTCTGATGGTCCAATGTCCAGGTGTGTTGATGCATGGGCAGCTTAATTTGGGATCAGCCAGGGGGCGTTGTTTCATCGTAGCTTCGTAGCTCTTTAGGAAACAGCCGCCATGCCGAACTTCACTGTGGATCAGATGCGCACCATCATGGATAAGACGGATAACATCCGCTCCATGAGTGTCATCGCCCACGTGGATCACGGCAAGTCCACCTTGACAGACTCCCTGATCTGCAAAGCGGGCATCATCTCGGCGAAGGCGGCAGGTGACGCGCGCTTCACAGACACCCGAGCAGACGAGCAGGAGCGAGGTGTGACCATCAAGAGCACTGGGGTGTCCCTTTACTTCGAGCATGATGAGGAGGATGGCAAGGGCCCGGTGGCTCACCTGATCAACCTGATCGACTCTCCCGGCCACGTCGATTTCTCCTCGGAGGTGACTGCTGCTCTGCGAATTACCGATGGCGCCATGGTCGTTGTCGACTGCATCGAAGGCTGTGCTGTGCAGACAGAGACTGTGCTGCGTCAGGCCCTGCAGGAGCGAGTGAGGCCTTGCCTGTTCGTGAACAAGGTCGATCGCTGCATCCTTGAGCTGCAAATGGAAGCCGAGGACATGTACTCCCGCTTCCGAAATGCCATTGAGAACGTGAACGTGATCATTGCCACCTACAATGACGCCTTGATGGGTGACGTGCAGGTGACGCCTGAGAAGGGCACCGTGGCCTTTGGAAGTGGCCTCCACGGATGGGGCTTCACAACAGAGCGGTTTGCCAAGATCTACGCCACAAAGATGGGTGTCGAGAAGGAGAAGATGATGCAGCGCATGTGGGGTGACTCCTTCTTCAATGCCAAGAAGAAGGTGTGGACCAACGTGATGCAGCCAGAGGGCTGCACCGAGCCGCTGCAGCGTGCCTTCTGCCAGTTCATCATGGGCCCCATCAATCAGCTCATGCGTGCCATCATGAACGATGACAAGGAGAAGTACGAGAAGATGATGGGAACGCTGGGCATTGTGCTGAAGGGCGATGAGAAGTCCCTGACCGGGAAGCCTTTGATGAAGCGAACAATGCAGATCTGGATCAACGCCGCCGACACCTTGCTGGCGATGATTGTGACCAAGTTGCCTTCCCCTCGGGCTGCGCAGAAGTACCGTGTGGAGAACTTGTACGAAGGTCCCATGGACGATGCAGCGGCCAACGGCATCCGCACGTGCGACCCAGCCGGCCCTTTAATGATGTATGTGTCGAAGATGGTGCCCACTTCGGACAAGGGCCGCTTCTACGCCTTCGGCCGCGTGTTCTCTGGCACCATCGCCACTGGACAGAAGGTCCGAATTCAGGGCCCGTACTACAAGCCGGGCAGCAAGGAGGACCTGCACGTGAAGAACATCCAGCGCACCGTTCTGATGATGGGCCGCACCACTGAGCAGATCCAGGATGTGCCCTGCGGAAACACCGTGGCACTGGTTGGCGTTGACCAGTACATCCTGAAGTCTGGCACCATCACCACCCTGGAGGATTCTCACAACATCGCAGACATGAAGTACAGCGTGTCCCCTGTCGTGAAGGTCGCCGTGAAGGCCAAGGATGGAAAGGACCTGCCGAAGTTGGTGGAGGGCTTGAAGAAGCTGTCCAAGTCCGATCCCCTGGTTGTGTGCACGACTGAGGAGAGCGGAGAGCATGTGATCGCAGGCTGCGGCGAGTTGCACGTCGAGATTTGCTTGAAGGACCTGAAGGACGAGTATGCTCAGTGCGACTTCATCGTGTCCGACCCTGTGGTGTCCTACCGAGAGACGGTGAGTGAGACGTCTGGCCAGACGTGCTTGGCCAAGTCGCCGAACAAGCACAACCGAATCTACCTTGTGGCCGAGCCTATGGACGAGGAGCTCAGCAAGGCCATCGAGGATGGTGTTGTTGGCCCTAAGGCCGACCCCAAGGAGCGGGCCAAGATCTTGTGCGAGAAGTTCGAATGGGACAAGCAGGTTGCCCAGACCAAGATCTGGTGCTATGGTCCTGAGACTGATGGTGCCAACCTGGTTGTGGACTCCACCGTGGGCGTGCAGTACCTCATCGAGATCAAGGAGCATGTGAACAGCGCGTTCCAGTGGGCCACCAAGGAGGGACCTCTGTGCGAGGAGAACATGCGCGGCATCCGCTTCAACCTGATGGATGTGACCCTGCACACCGATGCAATCCATCGTGGCGCGGGACAGATCATGCCTCCCACCCGCCGTTGCTGCTTTGCTGCAGAGTTGACAGCCAAGCCTACTTTGCAGGAGCCTGTGTTCTTGGTGGAGATCACCTGCCCACAGGAGGCCATGAGCGGTGTCTACAACTGCATGAACCTTCGCCGTGGCTGTGTCTTCGAAGAGAACCAGAGGGAAGGCACGCCCTTGGTCCAGGTGAAAGCGCACCTGCCAGTGTCCGAGTCCTTCGGTTTTGTTGCTGCCTTGAGGCAGGCCACCAGTGGCCAGGCTTTCCCACAGTGCGTCTTCGACCACTGGGAGAACCTCCAGGGCAACTGCCTGGAGAAAGGTAGCAAGATGGAGGATCTCATCCTGGCCATCCGCAAGCGCAAGAACCTCAAGGTGGAGATGCCGGCCCTCGGCGACTACCTGGACAAGCTTTAAGCCTTCAGGCCGAAGAAACAGCATCTTCGAGAAATGTTGAGCTCGAAATACGAGCACTCGCTCCAGCCAAAGATGTCTGTGTACATGTCAGTCACCTGCAGGGTGCCATTTTGATGTCGCAAAAGAACCAGTTAGGGTCCGGTTTGGTCCGTTGAGCTTGCTAATGCATCACACGGCTGACAGCCAGGTGATTCCATGCAAGTGACGCATGTCCTGCTCTGGCGTCCTCTGATGGTCCAATGTCCAGGTGTGTTGATGCATGGGCAGCTTAATTTGGGATCAGCCAGGGGGCGTTGTTTCATCGTAGCTTCGTAGCTCTTTAGGAAACAGCCGCCATGCCGAACTTCACTGTGGATCAGATGCGCACCATCATGGATAAGACGGATAACATCCGCTCCATGAGTGTCATCGCCCACGTGGATCACGGCAAGTCCACCTTGACAGACTCCCTGATCTGCAAAGCGGGCATCATCTCGGCGAAGGCGGCAGGTGACGCGCGCTTCACAGACACCCGAGCAGACGAGCAGGAGCGAGGTGTGACCATCAAGAGCACTGGGGTGTCCCTTTACTTCGAGCATGATGAGGAGGATGGCAAGGGCCCGGTGGCTCACCTGATCAACCTGATCGACTCTCCCGGCCACGTCGATTTCTCCTCGGAGGTGACTGCTGCTCTGCGAATTACCGATGGCGCCATGGTCGTTGTCGACTGCATCGAAGGCTGTGCTGTACAGACAGAGACTGTGCTGCGTCAGGCCCTGCAGGAGCGAGTGAGGCCTTGCCTGTTCGTGAACAAGGTCGATCGCTGCATCCTTGAGCTGCAAATGGAAGCCGAGGACATGTACTCCCGCTTCCGAAATGCCATTGAGAACGTGAACGTGATCATTGCCACCTACAATGACGCCTTGATGGGTGACGTGCAGGTGACCCCTGAGAAGGGCACCGTGGCCTTTGGAAGTGGCCTCCACGGATGGGGCTTCACAACAGAGCGGTTTGCCAAGATCTACGCCACAAAGATGGGTGTCGAGAAGGAGAAGATGATGCAGCGCATGTGGGGTGACTCCTTCTTCAACGCCAAGAAGAAGGTGTGGACCAACGTGATGCAGCCAGAGGGCTGCACCGAGCCGCTGCAGCGTGCCTTCTGCCAGTTCATCATGGGCCCCATCAATCAGCTCATGCGTGCCATCATGAACGATGACAAGGAGAAGTACGAGAAGATGATGGGAACGCTGGGCATTGTGCTGAAGGGCGATGAGAAGTCCCTGACCGGGAAGCCTTTGATGAAGCGAACCATGCAGATCTGGATCAACGCCGCCGACACCCTGCTGGCGATGATTGTGACCAAGTTGCCTTCCCCTCGGGCTGCGCAGAAGTACCGTGTGGAGAACTTGTACGAAGGTCCCATGGACGATGCAGCGGCCAACGGCATCCGCACCTGCGACCCAGCCGGTCCTTTGATGATGTATGTGTCGAAGATGGTGCCCACTTCGGACAAGGGCCGCTTCTACGCCTTCGGCCGCGTGTTCTCTGGCACCATCGCCACTGGACAGAAGGTCCGAATTCAGGGCCCGTACTACAAGCCGGGCAGCAAGGAGGACCTGCACGTGAAGAACATCCAGCGCACCGTTCTGATGATGGGCCGCACCACTGAGCAGATCCAGGATGTGCCCTGCGGAAACACCGTGGCACTGGTTGGCGTTGACCAGTACATCCTGAAGTCTGGCACCATCACCACCCTGGAGGATTCTCACAACATCGCTGACATGAAGTACAGCGTGTCCCCTGTCGTGAAGGTCGCCGTGAAGGCCAAGGATGGAAAGGACCTGCCGAAGTTGGTGGAGGGCTTGAAGAAGCTGTCCAAGTCCGATCCCCTGGTTGTGTGCACGACTGAGGAGAGCGGAGAGCATGTGATCGCAGGCTGCGGCGAGTTGCACGTCGAGATTTGCTTGAAGGACCTGAAGGACGAGTATGCTCAGTGCGACTTCATCGTGTCCGACCCTGTGGTGTCCTACCGAGAGACGGTGAGTGAGACGTCTGGCCAGACGTGCTTGGCCAAGTCGCCGAACAAGCACAACCGAATCTACCTTGTGGCCGAGCCTATGGACGAGGAGCTCAGCAAGGCCATCGAGGATGGTGTTGTTGGCCCTAAGGCCGACCCCAAGGAGCGGGCCAAGATCTTGTGCGAGAAGTTCGAATGGGACAAGCAGGTTGCCCAGACCAAGATCTGGTGCTATGGTCCTGAGACTGATGGTGCCAACCTGGTTGTGGACTCCACCGTGGGCGTGCAGTACCTCATCGAGATCAAGGAGCATGTGAACAGCGCGTTCCAGTGGGCCACCAAGGAGGGACCTCTGTGCGAGGAGAACATGCGCGGCATCCGCTTCAACCTGATGGATGTGACCCTGCACACCGATGCAATCCATCGTGGCGCGGGACAGATCATGCCTCCCACCCGCCGTTGCTGCTTTGCTGCAGAGTTGACAGCCAAGCCTACTTTGCAGGAGCCTGTGTTCTTGGTGGAGATCACCTGCCCACAGGAGGCCATGAGCGGTGTCTACAACTGCATGAACCTTCGCCGTGGCTGTGTCTTCGAAGAGAACCAGAGGGAAGGCACGCCCTTGGTCCAGGTGAAAGCGCACCTGCCAGTGTCCGAGTCCTTCGGTTTTGTTGCTGCCTTGAGGCAGGCCACCAGTGGCCAGGCTTTCCCACAGTGCGTCTTCGACCACTGGGAGAACCTCCAGGGCAACTGCCTGGAGAAAGGTAGCAAGATGGAGGATCTCATCCTGGCCATCCGCAAGCGCAAGAACCTCAAGGTGGAGATGCCGGCCCTCGGCGACTACCTGGACAAGCTTTAAGCCTTCAGACCGAAGAAACAGCATCTTCGAGAAATGTTGAGCTCGAAATACGAGCACTCGCTCCAGCCAAAGATGTCTGTGTACATGTCAGTCACCTGCAGGGTGCCATTTTGATGTCGCAAAAGATTGCTGCGTGGATTGTGCGAAGACGACACCAGTTAGGGTCCGGTTTGGTCCGTTGAGCTTGATAAGTTTAAGTGGCTTGGAGTACAAAGTGCCTTGTTGTGCATAAAACGGCTGACAGCCAGGTGATTCCATGCAAGTGACGCATTGTCCTGCTCTGGCGTCCTCTGATGGTCCAATGTCCAGGTGTGTTGATGCATGGGCAGCTTAGTTTGGGATCAGCCAGGGGGCGTTGTTTCATCGTAGCTTCGTAGCTCTTTAGGAAACAGCCGCCATGCCGAACTTCACTGTGGATCAGATGCGCACCATCATGGATAAGACGGATAACATCCGCTCCATGAGTGTCATCGCCCACGTGGATCACGGCAAGTCCACCTTGACAGACTCCCTGATCTGCAAAGCGGGCATCATCTCGGCGAAGGCGGCAGGTGACGCGCGCTTCACAGACACCCGAGCAGACGAGCAGGAGCGAGGTGTGACCATCAAGAGCACTGGGGTGTCCCTTTACTTCGAGCATGATGAGGAGGATGGCAAGGGCCCGGTGGCTCACCTGATCAACCTGATCGACTCTCCCGGCCACGTCGATTTCTCCTCGGAGGTGACTGCTGCTCTGCGAATTACCGATGGCGCCATGGTCGTTGTCGACTGCATCGAAGGCTGTGCTGTACAGACAGAGACTGTGCTGCGTCAGGCCCTGCAGGAGCGAGTGAGGCCTTGCCTGTTCGTGAACAAGGTCGATCGCTGCATCCTTGAGCTGCAAATGGAAGCCGAGGACATGTACTCCCGCTTCCGAAATGCCATTGAGAACGTGAACGTGATCATTGCCACCTACAATGACGCCTTGATGGGTGACGTGCAGGTGACCCCTGAGAAGGGCACCGTGGCCTTTGGAAGTGGCCTCCACGGATGGGGCTTCACAACAGAGCGGTTTGCCAAGATCTACGCCACAAAGATGGGTGTCGAGAAGGAGAAGATGATGCAGCGCATGTGGGGTGACTCCTTCTTCAATGCCAAGAAGAAGGTGTGGACCAACGTGATGCAGCCAGAGGGCTGCACCGAGCCGCTGCAGCGTGCCTTCTGCCAGTTCATCATGGGCCCCATCAATCAGCTCATGCGTGCCATCATGAACGATGACAAGGAGAAGTACGAGAAGATGATGGGAACGCTGGGCATTGTGCTGAAGGGCGATGAGAAGTCCCTGACCGGGAAGCCTTTGATGAAGCGAACCATGCAGATCTGGATCAACGCCGCCGACACCCTGCTGGCGATGATTGTGACCAAGTTGCCTTCCCCTCGGGCTGCGCAGAAGTACCGTGTGGAGAACTTGTACGAAGGTCCCATGGACGATGCAGCGGCCAACGGCATCCGCACCTGCGACCCAGCCGGTCCTTTGATGATGTATGTGTCGAAGATGGTGCCCACTTCGGACAAGGGCCGCTTCTACGCCTTCGGCCGCGTGTTCTCTGGCACCATCGCCACTGGACAGAAGGTCCGAATTCAGGGCCCGTACTACAAGCCGGGCAGCAAGGAGGACCTGCACGTGAAGAACATCCAGCGCACCGTTCTGATGATGGGCCGCACCACTGAGCAGATCCAGGATGTGCCCTGCGGAAACACCGTGGCACTGGTTGGCGTTGACCAGTACATCCTGAAGTCTGGCACCATCACCACCCTGGAGGATTCTCACAACATCGCAGACATGAAGTACAGCGTGTCCCCTGTCGTGAAGGTCGCCGTGAAGGCCAAGGATGGAAAGGACCTGCCGAAGTTGGTGGAGGGCTTGAAGAAGCTGTCCAAGTCCGATCCCCTGGTTGTGTGCACGACTGAGGAGAGCGGAGAGCACGTGATCGCAGGCTGCGGCGAGTTGCACGTCGAGATTTGCTTGAAGGACCTGAAGGACGAGTATGCTCAGTGCGACTTCATCGTGTCCGACCCTGTGGTGTCCTACCGAGAGACGGTGAGTGAGCAGTCTGGCCAGACGTGCTTGGCCAAGTCGCCGAACAAGCACAACCGAATCTACCTTGTGGCCGAGCCTATGGACGAGGAGCTCAGCAAGGCCATCGAGGATGGTGTTGTTGGCCCTAAGGCCGACCCCAAGGAGCGGGCCAAGATCTTGTGCGAGAAGTTCGAATGGGACAAGCAGGTTGCCCAGACCAAGATTTGGTGCTATGGTCCTGAGACCGATGGTGCCAACCTGGTTGTGGACTCCACCGTGGGCGTGCAGTACCTCATCGAGATCAAGGAGCATGTGAACAGCGCGTTCCAGTGGGCCACCAAGGAGGGACCTCTGTGCGAGGAGAACATGCGCGGCATCCGCTTCAACCTGATGGATGTGACCCTGCACACCGATGCAATCCATCGTGGCGCGGGACAGATCATGCCTCCCACCCGCCGTTGCTGCTTTGCTGCAGAGTTGACAGCCAAGCCTACTTTGCAGGAGCCTGTGTTCTTGGTGGAGATCACCTGCCCACAGGAGGCCATGAGCGGTGTCTACAACTGCATGAACCTTCGCCGTGGCTGTGTCTTCGAAGAGAACCAGAGGGAAGGCACGCCCTTGGTCCAGGTGAAAGCGCACCTGCCAGTGTCCGAGTCCTTCGGTTTTGTTGCTGCCTTGAGGCAGGCCACCAGTGGCCAGGCTTTCCCACAGTGCGTCTTCGACCACTGGGAGAACCTCCAGGGCAACTGCCTGGAGAAAGGTAGCAAGATGGAGGATCTCATCCTGGCCATCCGCAAGCGCAAGAACCTCAAGGTGGAGATGCCGGCCCTCGGCGACTACCTGGACAAGCTTTAGTCATCTTTAGGTTCTCACGCCGAGTGGGCTCCAACATGTGCTGAGGTCGATTTGAGCACCCGCGTTTGAGAAAGCCGGCTGAAGCTACGGAATGGATGAGTTCGTATACAAGTTGCCCCCGAAAATCACACACACACATGTATATACTTACCAGACCGACAGACAACGAGACCGACCAACAGACACCCGGTTTGATCGACAGACAGACGGGCAAACAGAGAAACAGACAAGAGGCGACAGAATCTAAATATGATCTATTCTTATGAGATGGCCTGATATTCATCTGCGATGAATGGAGAAGATCTCATTATAAATCACACGATATCATGAATATTCGTCATAAGAATCATTTTTCTGGAGAAGAAGATCATCAATTTATGAATACATTCATCCATCTATCCCACGGTCCCTTCGTAATAACCGGCATGGAACGTTATCTATATTGGGATTCCCGAATCTTGATTCGAATCATATCATCATAAACATAAGATTTCATATTTTCGTAATATTAGGAGTTCTAGATAAAATCTCATGCATTCTTTTCATGAGCTGATTATTTGGATCTATTCATTATTATAATATCTTTCTATGAAAAAATATATAGAATTTAGGATCGAAAAATCTATCTTTTCTCTTAGGATTTCTGATTAAAAAATATTATCAAGAAATTTTTTCGAATAATCTTTGATCTTTAAATCTTTAAATTCTTTGGATCTTCGATCGGCTAATAATTGGCCATCATTCGTATCATCAAAAATTAATTACGACTAATTATTCCCATCCGATCGAAGATTCTCCAAAAATCAATCCTTGGATTTCCGAGATTACTAAGATTTTTAGAATTTGAGGAAATTTGAATTTCAGAAATTTGGATAATATGGAGAATTCGCGACTTTGAGAATTGATCATCCTCGAGACTTCAATATGATCCGAAAATCTCAATCAGAATCGGATTCAAGAATCTTCGACTCAAGATACAGGTCTTCTCTAATCCCCAATTCGGAATTCTCAAGATCTAAATTCCCTAAATGAGCCGATTATATCTAGATAAAGAATTATATATCCGCGACTACAAGATCAATTCGGCAATATCTATACGGGAGGGATCGGAATCTGATATATCGGATATTATAAAATTGATAATATATTCTCATAAGAGAATGAATCGATAGAGATTATTTAAGGGGCTGCGCCCATGGGCGGGCAGCGCAGGCAGAAGCGCGGGGCGAGCAGTTTCTAACCATTTTGAGGCCCCTAAACTCCCTTAAAATCTCTAAACGTTAAATTTCTAAGCATTTTCAGGCCCCTAAACTCCCTTCAAATCTCTAAGCGTTTGAGGCTCCTAGACTCCCTTAACGTTTCTAAGCACTTTATAAGGCCCCTAAACTCCCTTTTTCCTAGCCCCGACCTTAGACACATCGCTTATGCCCGCCCTTTGGGGGGCGTCATGCTCCTGATGCGCCCCCGGGGTCCCGCCCCGGGAGCCGCTGATGCTCCTGATGCGCGCCTGGGGGTCCCGGGCTGGACCCGCTGATGCTCATGATGCGCGCCCTCTGGGGGCCTCCGTGGCGACGCAAAAAACCACGAAAAAAAAACCGTTCACCGGCGGCACGCGGGGGTCGGCGGCACTGGCGTCCGGCCTAATTCTGCTTCGCAGAAGGCCAGAGGCCAGCAAGGCTATTCCCGGGACGACCCGGGCTAAAAGGTCCGCATTTGCTCGGTCCTTTGGGGACCTCGCGCTGCCCGATTTAATGACTACCGCCAGTGCCGCCGACCCCTCAACCTGATGCTCCGCACAAACCGGACAAGCATAAGGCCAGGGGACCAGGCATGAAAGTGCGGCCAGGGATGGGCATGAAAGTGCGGGCGGGCATGCACTGGGGCCCGGGGACCAGGCATGAAAGTGCGGCCAGGGATGTCTAGGCCATGATAAGAGCGGGTGGGAAGGACGGAGCAAGCGGGAAGGGCGGAGCGGGCGGGAAGAGCGGAGAGGGCGGGCGTGCACTGGGACCCTTTAAAGTCATCTGATCGGGTCTAGAGGCATAAGGCCAGGGAACCAGTGCGGCCAGGGATGTCTAGGCCATGG